TTACCTGTCGTTTATCTCGCGACCTATCGCTGACGAATGGAACAAAAAAAAAAGAAAAAGAAGATAGTCGGAAGAGGAGGAGGAGAGGAAGAAGAAGAAGAAGAAGAAGATGATGATGATGATGATGAGAGGGGGACGGGCGGCTCCACGGGGACGGGCGACGGGCGGCTCCACGGTGCTGGCGACTCCAAGACGCTGGCGACGGGCGACGGGCGGCTCCATGGCGACGGGGGAGTGAAGCTCCCAGGCGATGGCGACGGGCGGCTCCACGACGATGGGCGGCTGAACCACGAACTGCGCCGGCGGGGGAAGACCAAGGCCCCGTTTGGACAGCCGATGCAGGCCGCCGCAGCCAGTCGGCTGTTCAAACGGGTTGTCGTTTTCCCTCCAAACATCAAACGGCCCTCTGGCCGTCGATCATGGATGATCGACAGTCGGAGGGCCGTCACAATTTCAAAAAAAAAAAGCTGGCCTCACGGGCCCGACGCGCCTTTTTTCAGGCCTGGTCGGACCCGGTAGGCCTTGGGGACACCAGCTCACGGCGATTCGGGGTCTGAACCCCCCCCCCGACAAGGTGTGCTGGGGGTGCCCGGCCCCCAACCGGGCCGCCCGCCCGGCCAGGCCGCCCGGGAACTCCCCCGGGCAGGCGCTGGTCGGCCGGGCGGCCCGGTTCCGTACCCAGATACGAGCACATTTTTTGGTGGTCCGGGTACCGCACCGACATGGCTCACAGCACCAGCCAAAAGCAGGCCAGCGCCAGTTCTTTTTTTTTTGGCGTGCAAAGGCGAATTTAGGGCGTACTCACATAGTAGTGGCATAGCAGCAAAATCTGCGAATTTTGCTATCCCAATTTTGCTGAAATGTCACCCCGCACGATCACATAGCGGCAGCAAATCACAAAAGACACGAGCCGGATTTTCTGGCAATTGTCAAAATGGTGCCTCGCGTGGTCACACAGCACGAGTGTGCGGTGATTGGCAGCGTCCGTGTGGTGTTGCGTGTGGTATGTGCTGAGTGCAGACACTACAACCTTGCAGCGGAGGGGCGGATATCAGGGCTATGGTTCTGCTTTTGAACACAAAATCCTGGCTGTAGTGGTTACAGTACTCGGCTCTTGAGGCCGAGGTTGCCAGTTCGAGTCCGTGCTCGCATGGAGGAGGGCTGAGGCCCAGAGGTACTGATCCTATAACATTGGAAAGCTCCCGTGAACTGGCGGGCGTGAGCAGGCTATACTACTGATGGGGGTCATGTGCTGCTTGGAGCGAAGTGTGCGGTGATTGCCAGTGTCCGTGTAGTGTTGCCTGTGGTGTGTGTTGAGTGTGGAAACTACAGCCTTGCAGGGGTGGGGCGGATATCTTGTCCGGTATGGTGCAAGTTTTGAACACCATGTCCTGGCTGTAATGGTTATGATACTTCACTCTTAAGACCAAGGTCGCTGGTTCGAGTCCGTGCTTGCACGAAGGAGGGCTGAGGCCCCGAGGTCACTGTGACACGGTGCGAGGCCCAAATCCTTTACCTTTTTTTTTCCCCGTTTCGAATTTCCGTTCACGAACTCTCGAACTGACACCCCCCCCCCACCTAGTAAAATGCCCTTCCCAGCGGCTCGCCAGGCCGCTGACATTTGATACCCCGTTTGCTGCTCTTGCCACTTCCCCTGCCTCATGTGACTGGCCCAACCATCAAATTTTAGCTATTTTGCCATAAAAGGTCCTACTGTGAGTAGGCCCTTAGGCTTGTTTTGTGCCGTGCAGGGCCATCAATAGCTGTGCGGGGGCTAGGTCCCACTTACACGAATTAAGCGATATTGACCGCAGATAGCAAAGATCAACGGCCAAAATCTCTTAATCCGTGCAAGTGGGACCTTGCCCCGGGGTACTGGTGTACCTTTCTCGTATATGGGGCCTCGGGCCTCTGCATTCGAATTCGGAGGCCGGCGCCGCTGATGAAATGATCAACGGCTGCGCGGTGGCGATCTTTACAGAGTCAAGAGCAAAAAAAGGGCTTTCCTGTGTGCCATCGACTGCGGCCTTTGGGACACAGCTAACCTCTTACCCTTTTTTTTCCTGAAAAGGTGACGGCAAAAAAAAAAAACAAAAAAAAAAAAGAAAAAGTGACGGCCTTGAGATATCATCGTTGAACTGACCGGCCCCAGGTAATTCAGAATGTGGATTTGATTCTATTCGTCTGACAGCATCTGGATTCGAACTCGGATCTGTCTTTCAACACTTCAGGGTTGTGGTGTACCAACTGAGGGCATACTCACACTACGACTTATTTACGTATTTTTGGACGGAATTTGGGTCATGTACACGCACGCGTGGCCGTGAATGCGGTCAGATACATTTGAGATACGGCTAGTGCGAGTACACCCTGAGTTTTAGGCCCGTTGTTCCGAGCACACCTCTTGGCGCCACGATAATTTTTTTTCCGCCTCGCTGTGGGGGTCCAGGGCTAACTGGCGCCATGGCAAATTCAAAAACATCTTACCGCGAATCATTTGAAAAATCGCTACCTACAGCAGTAGCGCGACTTGAGCGCCCTTGAGCGCCCTTGAGCGCCAAGGTCCGTTTCAGGCACGAAAATTACGTCCGTGCCAAAGTGGGCCGAAAAGGCGGCGGCACGAAAATTACGTCCGTGCCAAAGTGGGCCGAAAAGGCGGCGGCCTACCGGCACCTGGGACGAACATGACGTTGAAAACGCCGACACTCACACTACGGTAGCACTTTTCTAGATGCATCTGACCGCAATTCCGGCCAGAGAAGGACGAATCTGATCGCAATCACGTCCAGAGCTTAGAAGAAAAGGTCCTAGCGTGAGTACAAGTCCTCAAATTAGTGATTACTAAATGAGAGATGTGACCGACGAGGTTAGGATCCCTGCCAGTGCCATAGGTTTTGTATATCGTCTCTCTCCGTCGCTTACTCATATATAGATTGTTCTGGTGCTATTCTTCCCTCGAGATAGATAGGTGTGTCCGGCGTCGTCGCTATATCTTAGTTTGACACGTGGAGGGGAAGGAGATGGTGAAGGAGATGGTGAAGGATATGGCCTGGCCGCAGGCAAGCTATACCACAGCATGGACAGCACGAAGGAGATGGTCGTAATGCTGCCGCTGCTGTACGCCAAGCTATTTTACAGCAGCATGGAGAAAACGATGATGCATTTTGTTGGTAAAGTGACCAGGCCATGTGATGGATGACGGGGACAAATAGACGTGTACTTTCGCCGCCTCGCCTTCCGAGTGCTTGATGTTGTCTACTTCTCCTTCGCGTCTGGAGATCGTTGATCTATCATCGATCGAACGATGGATAAGCATAGTCGTGCAGACTGTGCCACTTCGGCTGTCCTCGTCAGTCCGGAGACTGGAGCCTCTGCGAGCGCTGGAGAGCGAAGTAAGCCAGTGCGTTGTCGAAGTAGACATTCTCTCCGTCCCCGAAGGCAGATTCCTCTTCAGGCATGGAAGGAAACGGCTTCCGTCGTTGATATCCGTTGCCCTTGCTACGTCGGCGGGACAGATGACTGCTAGGCTCTTTGCAGGGAGGACGTGGTCGACCCAATCAGTGGTCGCCAATCAAAAGTCGACACGTCAGCAAGTAGTACGTGAGGAGGGAGGAAAACGTCAGCTGTTGTATTAAATAGAGAATGTAATTGGGTCCTCAGTGCACTTGCCTGCCCGCTCAACGGTTTGACGAAAGGAGAAGCTATTAATTTTCGTGAAATTGACGTCTTTAGGTACGTGGGATCACTTTTAAACAGGCACACACACACACACACGCACACGCACACACACACACACACACACACACACACACACAGAGAGAGAGAGAGAGAGAGAGAGAGAGAGAGAGAGAGAGAGAGAGAGAGAGAGAGAGAG